ACATGTAATATACGATATTGAGGGGTCACACAACCAGTTGTCAGGTTAGGCCACAACAAAGGAAATATCACGAGGCTCGAAGTCGGACCTAAGCGAGGGCTGCCTCAGGCCTCAAACACACACCAACTTCTTGTATTCATAAAGACTTTTAATCCCTCAAGGCCTCATAAGAAAACCATGGACCTTTAATACATTAAAGTTAATTTTCAAGGACTAAATTAAACCCTCTGTTCCAAGCCCAGTGATTCTGCCCTTGTCGTAGCTGTTTACCATGTGGCGGTGACGAGTGAAGCACAATACTTGCGCTTTATACAATGTGTCGTCATCAACGTTGCAGACACGCGCCGAGTTGTTCCTACCGTTGACACTGTCACAACAGCGGCGCTCCAACTGCGAAGGAATTGTTGCCCCTTGATTTCCCTTAAAGGAACCGAGTCTTGGCTATCCTTTCGCCCTAATTGCGGTTTCCTGCTCAAGGAGCGATCTGGCATGACTGACAGACAGGTATCGTGCGTCTGGGACCTTTCATAGTGACTGAATGGCTCAAGGTCTTTGGGCGACATGGCTTGTCTGCCCTTGAGTGTGATGTATGGATTTCTGCCAGGACTTTGCTTCAACTGTTCCTCCCGCAGAGTCGCCTGTTGAGAATTAGGTGCAGCAACTTGAGAGTAAAGCCAGGCAGCGTTGCACAACTAGAAAAGGTGACATGGCCTCGGAACACGGTGTTTTAGGCTCACCAAATAGATCAGAGCAAGTTTGTGCAATGGATCAGATCAACCTCATAGGGTTGGTTTCAGCTTGTCAGTTTACCCCGGCATGTGTCCACACGCCAACAGACGAGGGCGCCGGCCCGTCTGCCGGTGCAGTCGTTCAACTCTGCCGCCCATTTGACGGATCGCGGCGGTATTTCACGGAAGATGGGGCCGGTAGGTAGCCAAAAGCGGTAAAGATTCAATTTCGCAACCCGCCGTATTAGGAAACTCGGTGATTCTGGCATTTGGCTGCGCGGAGTACTCGACTTCCCTAGGCAAACCACCCAAAAGACCTAAATGCGACCGGGCCCAGCAAGTCCTTCTTACCAGGCTTAGAATCGCAAGTCAAGTTTTGGTTATAGCACAATAAACACAATGTCCGTTGTGAGTTGATGGATGTTCCATTCGAGTGATAAGACACGGGATATATTGGCTATCGGCCATCTACTTCCATAACCGCTTTCCGGAAGCCCCTGTCCAAATCACAAGCGCCACAAGCGTAAGCAGTCTCACCGGAGCAAACAAAGGTAGCATACGGCCTGGAGACGTCTGCCGCGTTCGAGCTCAGTTGAGTATTTTTTGCGCCATGTGCCGCGAGATCAAGAGAGAAGAAGAGGCCGTAGCCGAATGGAACGCTTTGCCACAGTAAGAGCCCGTAAAATTTGCAGGATGAAGTCTCATATAACGAGGGTATCGTTTTCCAGAAGAAAGAAGAGATTCCAAAGAGACAAAAAAGCAACCCCCCAAGTTGAGTGTGCGACCGGATCAGCAGACTCTACTTTGTGCGCAATTCAATCACAGCCGGGGTTTCCAACCAGGACCCGTTTATGGAACAGCCGGGCATTTCTGGAGCGTCTTCCTGTGTATCAAATTCGGAGGGATATTTTTATTTTTCGACGAAACGGAGACGTGCAACGTGAGTTACGTGGTCAAATCGGTACTGTCGCACAGAATCCGGACCCAGAAGTACTAAAGAAAATCGTTAGGGACAAAAATTCGCATTCTAATCATCGTTTAGTCTCACAACGCATCACCTCTCACAAAGTTGGGATGGACAAACGAGATAGAAACCGCAGTCTAGAAGAACCACCATCTCTTGGCGCTCTGGCTCTTCATATCGTTTAGCTTGTCCATGAAGCCCCTACGCTGCTGCTCGCTGAGGCTGCTCCCCACGGCGTCCAGGACCTTGAGATGCTCCTTCTTGAGCTCCTCGAAGCCGGCGTCTAATTCCTTGTGCCACGGGTACAGGACGAAGACTTGAAACCCCAGCGCTGAGCTGGCAACAAGAAAATTGGTGAGAGAAATAGCCCGCGTGACTATCATTGTGGGCTGCGGCGTGTAGGAGCAGTCGGGGTGTCTTTTTTCATCAACGGCCAAGAATCGCGAATCAATCGCCGCGTGGTCGCCGGTTCGGTCCCCCTTTTCTCGTCGGGCTCCCCTTTTCCCTGGTGGCGCTAACTTGCGGTCTGGAATGCTCCAGGACAAGCAGAGGGCAGAAGAGATGGAGAGGATGGAGGATGGGAAAGAAATGCGAGGGGGTAAAATATTTGCAAAGTTTCTTATTTATTGAGCTGGGGAGAAACCAGTTTGGTCGGAAGTTCTCGGGGTTGATGGAGAACTATGCCCAAAAGGACAGAATAGGCAACTGGTCCACAACCGCGAAGAGACATCTGGAAGCTTCGTACTGGTGATGGTGAAGTACATCGCTAATTCCGCCTGGGACGAGAAGAGTGCAAAGTTTCGAGGGCAAGTCATCAAATGCCCTTGCTCGTTCAACGAATAGACGGATGAGAAGCCCCGACACAGGACGTATAAACAAGGCAAAATAATCCGGCCTTCTCCGCATGAAAAGAGATTAAGATACATGCGCCAGAAAAGTAAACAGGAGTGTCATTTAGATGCCGATTTCGGGGCCAAGTTTTGTCAGAGTTAACGTCGACTCTATGTACATAGGCCACACTGGTCAACCATGGCTATGACCTACAAGCTTCGAGGCTACCTGTCCCTTGGATGCGCCCCAGACAACCCCCCACTGTTCCATTAAGTGGAAAGTGGCGTGATGTTTCGTGGCATTGGGAAACACACCGGACCACTGACACGCGACTCGTCGCTGTTATGCATCCTTCTCGGCGCTCGTCACGGTTCAGGAACGAGTTGGGTGTTGTGGAAGGAAAATCGGCGCTCTATACATGACGTGTGCCGCCGTCTTCCCAGCTCTGTATTCAATGCCAAGAAGCTTCGTATATTGTTACCGGTCTGGGAGAACTGTTGCGCATCTTCTTGGCCTGGTAGGCGGCGTAGCTCGTAAGAGCGAAAAGGAAAATAATCGCCGAGTGATAATTTCAGCGTTGTTGGTGTTTTAACATGGGGCGCCGGGGGATGCACAAAACCCATGGTGGCATGACAGCATCGTCCGGCCCTTGAACAACTTGAGGTCCATCTGCTTGAGCATCCAGGAGATGTGCTTTTACTGGTTCCTGGCCGGTTTCTCCAGTTACGCAGGAGCCGCCGATAGCATAGCAACTCAAGGCATTGGTCTTACACCTTTACTCTTCTAGTATAAGTGAAACGCTTTACGCGACAACAGCAGGCTTTTGTTGGAATAGCTCAGGTAAAATACGAGACTCTTGATTTCCTATTTAAGAAATACATGTTATAACTGCTGCCTATAAGCAGAACTATAACAATTACTGTTGCCTTAAATGAGCGACTTGTATCTTGACACATGCCCTGGTATTAGAATAAAGCCTTTGCATTCACATTATAGCACAGGGAAAACCCCGACGAATACATACCGGGGAAAACCTGTACAAGGCATTTAGAGAACCCGCCATTCGCCATTTCCTGTCGCTAGGTTGGGCCACTCCTCTAGCTTCCTGTGAGGGGCCGCGTCACACATCTATTGGATGTGTTTGACGCATTTTATAGAGCGAGACTTGATAGCGCTACCTTTTACCTCGTGAGGGCCCCAAGGGGGGGGGGGGGGGGGGGGGTGTTAGTGTGGAGGAACATCGGCAC